GGGGGGGTCGGGGTGGTGGCAGTGACGGGGTGGGGGGGGTCGGGTCGGGGTCAGGGTGGTGGCAGTGGCGGGGTGGGTTCGGGGTCAGGATGGTGAGCGGGTGGTTTACGGCCGTGGATGTCGGAAAGCCGCAGTCGGTGAGGCCCACCAGCCCCCTGACTCACTTGAACCTGCCGCCGCAGTGCTGACACAGCTCCCCGACCCAGCCGGCTTCACACACGCACTGTCCGCCCGCCGCGCTGCAGTTCCCGTGGACACACCGCTTCTCACACTCCTTGCCCTGGGCTCCGGGCCACCCGCACATGGACACACACAGCGCCAGCATGACGCCCCACTTCAGGAAACTCCCCGAGCCGGCGACCAGCGTCACTTGGAGCCCGGAGCCGGTCCGTCGCTCCTCCGCCGCCGCCATATTCTCAACTTTGTGCTCGATCCGCAGACCGTCCCCGGGAGAAGACGGTAAGAAAAACGCACCGAATCACCACCGTCTGAGCATGCGCGCCTGCTCACCTCCCCGCTCATCCACGCAGTGGGCATGCGTACTGCTTCTCTTCCCAGGACCCACTCCAAGCAAGATCTCCCTACTTTTCTTTCCATTCCCTTTGCAAAGGGCAAATATTCCATTTGCCTTTCCTATTAACCGGTGAACTTGGATGCTAGCCTCTTTTGTGAGGTAGACATGCCTCTTTATGTTCACTTCCTTCAGTGATAAAGGAGTATACTTAATTAGCCTTCTTCATTATGTGCTGTACTTGCGTGCTAACTTTTTGTGACATATGCAAGTGACTATTTAAATTTAGCTACCATGCCTTCCCTCGCCTCATCTAAGTCATTGATGAAAATTGTAAAACTTTGAGGCCCAGTACTGACCCCTGTGGATCACCATTCATCACATCTGCCAGTCATACAAAGACCTTTTTATGCAAACCCAGATATTTTCTGATGGCCAGCCAGTTTTCTGTCCATGCTGAAAAGTTACCCTGCGTACCAGGAAATTTGTTTTTTGCAATGACCTTTGTGCCACCTAATCTAATGCCAGCTGGAACTCCAAGTAGAGTATGTCTTCCCTTTATCCATAGCACATGTTACACCTTTGAAGAACTCCAATAAGTTAGTCAAAGATGATTCCTTTTCAACAAAACCATGAAGACTCTTCCTGATACATTGAGTTTTTCTAAGTATGTGCAACTATAATCTCCTTAATGATCAATTCTGACACCTTCCCGACAACTGATGCCAAGCTAACTGGCCTGTTGTTTCTTGTTTGCTCCTTTCCTCCCTTTTTGAATAGACAAGATAAATTTGCTTCTTTCCAATCTGATGGAACTTTTCCTGAACTGAGACAATTTTGTAAAATTAATAGCATCACATCTTATAGTTCATTAGCTCTTGGATAAAGTTTATTTGGTCCCAGCACTTGACAGCCTGCACCTCCATCAAGTTACTCTGTGCCACTCCCCTTCTGATTATAATTTTCACTTCCTGATTTAGAGCTATAACTGCCACATTTTTGTATCCCCTCCATTGAAGACTTAAGTAAAATATTTGTTCCTCTAACATTTCCTTATTCTCTACCGTTAACTCCTACTTTGGTATCAAGAGGACCATCACACACTTTGCTTACTCTCTTTTTTTAATACCTGTAGAAACTCTTGCTATCTGGTTTTGCATTCATAGTAAATGAATTCCCTCTCATACTCAAATTTCTTCCTTTTGATTAATTTTTTCATCTGTTTCTATGGTGAATAATCATCTGACCTGCCACTTTATACAGTTATATCTGTTGTCATTAAGTTTGACGCATTAACTATATTCTTTACTTAACTATGGCTGGTGGGTCCAATATTTCTTTGTCGTAGGAATATGCTTGTTCTGAATATTCTGAAATATCCTATTAAAAGTCTGTTACTGTATACAACCCCTAGCCTTGTGCGCTGGTTCACTTCAGGAAGTTTACTTTTCATGCCGACATAGATTTAAAATGTTCATGTTGGATTCAATTTGTGTAACTGCAAACTTAGAGAGGGTTTTAAACAAAATAGTTGGGGAAAGGGATCAAATGTGAAAAGATATGGTACATTAAAGAGACATCTGTAGTATGTTTGCCACTGATCTGCCCATAGACCAACCTGTAACGTAAGACCTTTTTCCTCATCATTAACCACCATCATAGGCATCATGGTGGCTCAGCGGTCAGCACTATTGCCTCTCAGCATCGGGCACCCAGGGTACAATACCAGCCTCAGGTGACTGTCCGTGTGGAGTTTGCACACATTCTCCATGTCCATGTGGGTTTCCTCTGGGTGCTCTGGTTTGCTCCCACAGTCCAAAGATGTGCAGGTTAGGTGAATTGACCATGCTAAATTCCCTCATTGTGTGCAGGGATCTGTATGTTAGATGAATTAGACATGGAAAATGCAGCGTTATGGATACAGGGGTGGGTCTAGGTGTGGTGCTCTTTGGATGGTCAGTTTGGGCCAAATGGCCTGCTTCCCCATCCTATGATCTTCTTGTCACCTGCAAACCTACCCTGACATGGGTCCTTCAAAGTTCAAGGGTAGAAGGCAAGAGAATGTGGTTGAGAAACACATCAGCCATGACGGGCTGAATGGCCTACTTTAGCCCTTATGTCTTATGGTCTTATCCCTGTGGCATGCCACTGGATACCAGCCTCCAGTCAAGCAAACAGCCCTCTGCCACCATGTCCCCATCTCCTACCATTAAGCTGCACCAAAAAATGAGTTCCTAACCTTGTGCAGCTACAATACAGAACTACATACAGGCAACAAGCTATAAGAGCAAGTTAGAGGCTGTGGAAGATGTCACTCATTTCCTGACTCCCCAAATTCTGCCACCATTTCCAAAGCATAATTAAAGAATGTAAGCAAGTCCTTCCCACTTGACTGGATAAGTGAAGTTCCAAAGACTTTCAAGAAAGCTGACTATCATCCAGGACAAAGCAACCTGCTTATTTAGGACCCCATCTCCAGCCTTCAACAATCATTCCCTCCACTAGTGGAACCAAATGTAAACAGTTGCCCTGTCTTCAAGATGTGCTACAGCAGTTCATTACGACATATCTCTTTACTCAGAGAGTAGTAAGGGCGTGGAATGCCCTGCCTGCAAAAATAGTAGACTCGCCCACTTTAAGGGCATTTAAATGGTCATTGGATAAACATATGGATGATAATGGAATAGTTTAGGTTAGATGGGCTTCAGATTGGTTTCACAGGTCGGCGCAACATCGAGGGCCGAAGGGCCTGTACTGCACTGTAATGTTCTATATTACAAACCCACAATGACCACCACGAGGAGAACAAAGAGGGCGGACACGCTTGCATCTTCATCTGTACATATTCCTCCATGTTAGACACCATCCTGATGGAATCATTTTGCCAACTCCTCACTGCTAAATCAAAAACATAGAACTCCACCCCATAGCATTCTGGTGATATATTCACACCACAAACACTACAGATTTTCAAGAAGGCAGCTCTTCACACGTTTCAAGAACAATATTGATACTTCCTGTACAGCCCACAACCCAAAAACAAGTTTTAAATTATTATGAAAATTGAAAAAGATCAATTCTAGGAATGTTTAAGTTCTGTACCACCAAGCATTTACTTACAGGAAAGATTTAAAATAATATTTATTTTCCATTCTTTTGCAGTTGTAGCTAGGTTTCTGCTAATTCATGGAATATAGATCTTCCAGCAAAATGATTGCATCCTAATTCCCTCAGTTTGTTTCCTGCATCCCACATAGAGTATTTAACTTCTTTGCTTCGTCTAAAGGAGTTCTCTTTAGCTCAGCCTATCTTTTTCCTGAAATCCCCCATCTTTACTTCAGTTGCGCTTCTTTTCATAACAGGTCCATTTGATTTTATTTGTTTTGCTAAATTGTTGACTGCACAAACATGTATTCATTGATTATTCCTGGCTTTATTTTCTAGGCTCCTTTTTTTAAGTAATCATTCCCCATTTAACTGTTTTGTCAATGCATTCACAAGCTGCCTGTTATGTTGTATCCATTTTTGTGGAGTACATTTTACTTATTGCAGAACTGGTGCCGATACCAAATCACATCTTTCGCCATGCATTGATTTCACTAATCTTCTTGCCTTTCCCCACTCTAGAGCAAGGTTCATTCAGTAATCCTGAGATTGGCAATTGTGAATTCCAGTTCCTGAAATTGTTTCCTATAAAGAAAGAAATAATTTGCTTCATATTACACTTTGCATGACCACAGGGTGCATTTCACAGTCCATAAAATACTTTTCCAATGCAGTCACTAAGGTAGATATTTTTATTCAGCCTGTACAGACATGTTATAACTGGAATAGGTGGTATTTGAGCCTGGGACTTCTGGTCCAGCTGTAGGGAGTACTGACATTGCACCACAAAAGCCCCAGTTACTAGTTAATGTTGACAGTCAACCTTTCAACAACAACATCCATCAACAATGAGATAAATGACCAATTAAAATTTTAGTGAGAGTGGTTCAAGGATAATTGTTTATTTGCACACTGGAAGAACACCAATTCAAAGGTTACAGATAGGGATTAATTTTAACATCTTTGAAACACGGCTCCTCCAACATCGCAGGAGGTCTTCAGTACTGCACAGAAGCATTAACAATGATCTTGTGTTTCACGACTTGAAGTGAGGCTTCATTCTAGAATCATTTGAGTCAGAGAGCAACAGCGTGACCAACTGAGTATAAACATAGAATCTTCAATTCAAATAGTCCAGCAGTTCATCAAGTCTGCACAAACTAAAAACTATGCTAAATCTACACTCATCCCACTTTGCAGTATGAGGCTTATAGCCTTGAATGTTATGATACTTCAAGAGCTCATTCAAGTAATTTTAAAGATTGTGAGGTTTCCCACCTCTACTACCCTAAGGCTGTGCAATCCAGATTTCCACCACCCTGTGGGCGAAAAATGTCTTACTCAAATCCCCTAACAATTTCTGCCTTTCACATAGAAACATAGAAGGTAGCAGCAGGAGGAGGCCATTCAGCCCTTTGAGCCTGCTCCGCCATTCTTCACGATCGTGGCTGATCATCCAACTCAATAGCCTAATCCTGCTTTCTCCCTATAACCTTTGATCCCATTCACCCCAAGTATAATATCTAGGCGCCTCTTGAATACATTAAATGTGTTGACATCAACTACTTTGATCCACAGGATCACCACTCTTTGGGTGAAGAAATGTCTCCTCATCTCCGTCCCAGATGGTCTACCCCGAATCCTCATACTGTGAGCCCTGGTTCTGGACACACCCACCATCGGGAACATCCTCCCTGTAACCTTAAAATTATGCTCTTTTGCTATTGATCCTTCAACCAAAGAGAACAGAAGCTTTCTATCGACACTGTCCATGCCTCTCATAATCTCAAAGCATGATGTGGAGGTGCCAGTGTTGGACTGGGTTGGACAAGGTCAGAAATCACATGACATCAGGTTACAGTCCAACAGGTTTATTTGAAAATGCAGGCTTTCGGA